CTTTAGTTTTGATGCAAAAACGCATGATCGCACCGGCTGGCCTGGTGCGTTCCAGCCTTTGTTTATTTTTTCACAAAGCGAGCATTTACCGAAAAAACGACCGGACTTCACGCAAAAAACCGGTGATCATGCACCTGGATGTCCGTGCGGCTTTACAAGGCACCGCCTTCATCTCAACTGATGCCCTTCCTCCTGCATGCCAGAAAGGATCAAAGTACGGCCAATATTAGCACAAGTTTTAGGCTACAGCGTCGGTATCATTCCTGCTAGTAGTGATCTGTGAGTTTAGTGCAAAAGCGATCGGGGAGCCTGGTGCGTTTCAGCCTGGATTTGAAATGGAAAAACATTTCGTCAAGCGACAGTTTTACATGAGAATGTGGCATCATCCGATTTACTTCCAAGTGCCACCATCATAAGTAGAAGATGAAAATGGAGTAATAAGGATTTGTGTCATTTATTTGTTCATAATTAGTATTTAATTTTCCGTACCTCAGTAATATTATAACTGTTTCTGACATTTGACAGTGAGCCAGTAATGCGTTCGAATGACAGCTTATTTTTTGTTTTTTTATCTTTCGCACCGTTAAAAATTATCAGACCTACCCTTGGACAAGCAATTTGGTGGCTTCCAGAAGCATCGTAGCAACTCGCGCTCTTTTCATTGACTGCTCCTTCGGTCGCATCAGACCGTTGTACGCGTAAAGCGGATCACCTTCCTTGAATTGCCATTGACCTGTCTCAATGATAGCACTATCCAGCATTTTCAATTTGTCCAAATTTTCCTAACATTTATGTAAAATTTTTGTGATAAACCATTAAAGAAACGCAAAACTTGCCCAATGCATTGCGACAGCACGTTTAATTTTTTTCTTGTGGTACACTTTTTATACAACAAAAATGGATCGGAGCGATATATATGCCTACCTAATGTACCTCGCTTTTAGTTAATATCTGCCTTTTGAGCATTTATAATTATGCTTAAACACAAGCACCAGTGCTGCAAAAGCCCTGCTTGTTTGTAAATAAAACTAAAGTAACTCTAAGTAGCAGTGTTACAAATCTCTCGCTAGTTTTTTCAGTGTTCCGAGTTGGGAAGGAGCTCCTCCCCTCCCCCTCCCGCGCCCCCAGGAGTACGTCTTGGATCTGCCTATGTATATGTATGATGTATGTGTATATGTGATCAATATGTGTATAATAGAATAGAAAGATATATTAACAACGGTTGAAATAAAAATCGAAAAGGAAGGGGGGGAACAAGGACCACGAGGTTAGTAAAATTATTATATTATTGATTTCATGTGTATATAATCAACAACGCAGTGCTTACTGCCTTAATCTTGACCTTTTTATACGAAATTTTGTACTTCTATGATACTCCCTCTTTCAAAATACATTTCCAGGCCCGAAGTGATAATCTGAAGAAAAAACCTAACTGGACAAATTTATTCGAAAATAATGTTAAAATTTACTTTGGGCTGACACTGCGTCACGGCGCTTCTGCTCCTTTACATTTTCATCAGCAAGTCTGAGAATTTTCTTGACAGTTGATCGTGTAACAAGCAATGTTCTCCTTGGTACGGTCTCTGTCCATGGATTAATATCCAAAGTGCCAACCATCGAAGAATTACATAAAATGGGTGCGTTTCTGTAACAAACATACGGGCTGTTAAGTATTCACATCATTAATGGAATTAAAAATGCGCAATTATGGGGCATTGCTGTATGTGTGTGTATGTTTGTGTGTATCTGTATATGTATGCGTGGTACAGCCGTGCACTATAACTGAATTGAAATCTTTAGCTAAAGTATACACAGAGAATAGCTCTGCTAAGTTTCATATTTATACCTCACCTATTTTTCGAAATCGTCTTCCACCAAAGAAATTCGGATATTTTTTCGGGATCCCGTATTGCGAGATATAGGGCGTATTGATTTTGAAACGAAAGAAATTCCTACAGGCACAAGAAGTTTCTACAAACTGTTGTAGCGGTACCTTATTGGCCTTTGACGATCAGGCGTGAAAAATGTTGAAAGCTTTATGCGAAAATTTCTCTAGGAAACAAGCCAACATTGCATTCAACGGTGAAAACAAAATGTTACATTGAGCACGAAAAAGAGACGACGGACACAAGGAAAGGATATCTTGAAAAAGAATAAATAAATGAAAAGCTAACTTATAAATAACCCAGGTTGGAACGCACCAGGCGAGCCGGTGCGATCATGCGTTTTTGCACCAGACTTGAAGTACTTAGGTTATTAACTGCATGAATGGTTATTGCTTTACACCTACCTTTCACTAGCATAAGTCACCATAAGTTTTGGATAAAGTAATGCACTATTTCCATTTAACGATCGTTCTTTGAAAGTAATCTAGCTGTCTAGTGAGCAGTTTTCCCACCAAAATATTAAAGTACCCGTAGCTGAGAACCACGCACACCTGAAGGCTGAGTTTGAAATATTTAAATTGTACCTGGACAAGGGATATCCCTTTAAGATTTTATCTTTCTAGCTTTTCTGGTTCCCGAGTTAGTAATTTTCCTTCAAAACCTTCATATCCCGTACGTGGGTACCCCACGTACCTGGGAAGTTGAGTTAGAAATCCTTAAATTGCACGTGGACAGGGAACATCCTCTAAATCTTCAGCCTTCTAGCTTTTCTGGTTACCGAGTTAGCGATTTTCCCGCCAAATCTTTCACACGCTCGTACGTGAGAAACATGCATAACTCAGGGCTGAATCTGAAATATCAAAGTTGTACTTGGACAAAGAACATTTTCCCAAAACTACAGCGTTCTAATTTTCCTGGTTCTCGGATTAGTGTTTTTCCCGCCAAACTTTTCAAACACCCTTGCGTGAGTACCACGCATAACTGAAGGCTGAATTTGAAATCCTTAGCTCACACGCTTCAGCTTTCTAGCTTTGCTGGTTTCCGAATTGGCAATTTTTCCACCAAGAATTTCATAGGGCCGCACTTGACCTGGGAGTATACCTGGGGGCTGGGTTTGGAAGGGAAGCTGAAACTTTCAACGAATGTTCCTGGCATAAGTACAATATAAACCTGTCAAATTCAGTCCTAAGCCATACGTGGTTCAGCCCTGCGAAATTTTTCGGCAAGAAAATGGCTGACTTGGGAACTAGGAAAGCTGGGAGGCTGAAATTTTCAAGGAATAAAAAATAACTGCTCGAGAAATTCATTGATTTCATCAAACAATTCATTATTTACTATCCTTTATGCTCTAACTAGTACTTTTTGAAAGGTTTCCTGTAATCTACAGAAAGGAACCATATAATTTTTAGACCTTTTTTCTTTCAAAAGCTTAAAATAAAAAATTTACTCGTAGTGGTCGCTGACCATGAACACATTTGGCTGAATGGTGATGAGGCCAGTGGTACTGCAAAGGATGCCTGCTAGGGTTGTCTTTCGGATTGCACTCAGGTGCTCCTCTGTGAATGCCGATGGTGCAAAATAGTTCTCAAACCAGAAACGATCAGCGTTGCGAGTCTGTAAAACAAATTTTTGAGGCCACACAACAAGCCCATACTTGCTTGAATTTACATGGGTTTTGAAAAAAAAAAACAGTTGCAGCTCACGAAGGAAATGAACAATTAGATTTGGTCAAGTTGAGCAGTCAAGTCAAGCTACTGCCTTTTAGCAGAAAAGCCAGTACTATTTCTGTTTTTCGCTGCCAGTTCAAATAAACTTGAATGCTGAATTTATCATGCAGGAGCTCTTCGCTGCCTTAGTCATAGCTGCATTTAGCTACTTTACGTAAATTTTCCTGCATGGAGGTTTTTTTTTTTGGAAAGAAAAATCTGTTCTAAAGCGATACGAAATCAGTTTTTCAAACAGTTATTGGGTCGAAACATTCCTCTTCAGATTTTTGATTCTACATTAATTCACCACTTTTTCCTTATCACTCGAAAAAACGACTTGTTATTTTTCACAGCTAAGATACCAATTCGTTGCATAATCTTCACTTTCCATTCGTTCCGCCTTATCCCTATAAGATCAGCGTCTTTGAATTTATTGTTGCTTGAAAAAAGTTGCATTACCAAGACTGTCTGAACAATCAGTGTGACTGTTCGGCTCTGGTGGTTTTGCCTTGACGTTCCAAATACCTGATATAAATTAACTACAGTGTTGTAGGTTTTTTTTATAGCTTGTTGCCCTACTCCCACAGGAGTTTTTACAATAAGCAGTAAATTAACTTTTATCAGTGTAGTATAAATGTTTGTTAATTATAACACCAACCTTTTGGAACTGGCTGCCGATAATACATCCGGTTACGTCACCCACCAGGGAACCACGTGTCGGCCGTTCTGCTAATACACCCACGACCAAATCGACATCG